GGGCGATTTTAATTAACTTAAAAGTTCTCTGTTTAATTTTTGTGTAACTCGAGTGTTTGGCCGACCGGATGCTTGGACCTAACCCCGCCCACAGCAATCGGTCTACAGAGAAAGATGGCGACGCAGATGGACCATGGTGTTCCGTTAAGCACGGTGAGAGGAGTTTACTTATTTGTTTGGGGAGTTTTGTCCTATTTATTGGTGCACTAAATGTGTGAACAATTGAAACAACAGTAAGAATCTGCGTTTGGGTTCAGTGAGGTTAATTCAGTCCATACAGCACACCCGCTGTGGTCAAAGCTGTATGGCTGTTGGTACCGAGGTCTGTGGGACTCCCATGTAGTTGCCAGTCAGTTTATATTTACAACTGCCAATGAATTACGGGAGTACTGTCATTGTTAACCGCAGTATTGTTTACTCAGAAATTAGGTCCGGTTGTGCTGTGAATTTAGGCTACTGGATAAGTTTCGTTTTCCTGACTCACGGCTGGTTTTACAACCCACTAACATACTGGATATAACGGCCTGGCTGGTCTTGTTCCAGGTCGACACAGAGCCAGGACCAGTGTATTCTCTATATCTACATTTGGTAGGAGGTTAAATGGCTTTTGCATAAGATTTAATGCACTTGTACTATGTTTTCCCTCTATTCACCCTCTTAAAGTCTTCCACTGTTTGTTTATTACGTAAGTGTGTCCCTCGTGTTATCACGCATGTGAAAGCAAAACAAGGGATTAAAGTTGTTTAGGTCACGTTTGTTTGATTGCGGAGCTTCTTTGCATATGTCTGTGAAGGTTCTCAGTCATCCAGGTCAGAGTCATTTCAGTCAGAGTGTGTGTCCACACATTCAGACAGAAACTGATTCATCCCAAAGACAGAACTCCTAAACACAAACTAAACAATGTAGTATAGGCTGTACAGTGTAGGGGGGAATGCTCAGACCTCTACATTGGAGAGACAGAACAGTCACTTCATAAAAGCATGGCACAACATAGAAGAGCCACCTCGACGGGACAAGACTCGGCTGTCTTTGCATAATTTCCACCTACTTGAATTGATTCTGTTTATGACCACATAAATATCAGCTTTCAAAGTGTTTAACAGTGACGATATAGATCTGTTATACCAGATATTGTCATCTGTAGTCTTGGCTGAAGCTCTGCAGTGGTGGAGAAAAAATGACAATACCAAGCAATAAGGTAAACAAATGTTACACATTAAAAACAATATGCAAAGATGCACAGTGAACTCATTGCCATGTTCAAGAAACCAGTTTGAGATGATCTGAGCTTTGTGATATGTTACGTTATCCTGCCAGAAGCAGCCATCAGACAATGGGTACACTGTAGTCATAAGGGGATAAACATGGCCAGCAACAGTATTCAGTTATGTTGTGAGGTTTAAACGGTGCTCAGTTGGTAGTTTCCCACACACCATTATACGGAGCCCCGCAGGGGACATGGGAGAAAAAAAAATTAAGACGGACTTTTGCGAGATCTCGCAAAACTTTTTTTTTTTTTTTTTTTATTAAAATGAGGATT